TTATCTCTCTGTTTAGTACATGCTGTTCCCTCTGCCTGAATGTACTTTGTATTCTCTTCTTCTCTTTCTTGCAGAAGCCACTCTATTTTTAATGTCATTGGTTTATTAACAATTCAGTTGTAAAGGGAAGGGAAGGGACCTTTTTTAAAATTGATTTTGAAGAGGGGAAAAAGAGAAACATCAATTTGTTGTTATAAGAATCAACCAATAAATGCCTAAATAAGTATAAAACCAAATCGATGTCTGTCTGTGCCAGGACTGAACCTACAGCCCTGGCATATCTACACTCTAAACACCTGAGCTACCCAGCCAGGACCTGAATCTGTTTGCTGTGGGACTCTGCATTTGCCTGTTAGGGGTACATATGTTTTGGGGAAGGACTTTCTAATGCTGCTGTGTACTTAAGGATTAAATTCTCCAAACAAGACTACATTTGGCCCTAAGAAACTATTTAATCATCATCTCAGCTACTCTCTTTCTCCCTCGTGCCTGCCCCTCTCCCCATGCGTGTCTGTGTGTGTCTGCGTTTGTGTGTAGTGGGGAGCATTTCAGGTTCAGGTACTTTAGTTACTCAGTGTTCTTCACCTAATGATACACCATCCTCAGCCTTTTTATTGTATTTTCCCCTTCATCCCATTCCCTATTTTAATTTCTCTGGTTATATTTTCTTTTTGTATATCAATTTTGACACTTTGTATTTTTCCAGAAATTGATCTAAGCTATTGCTTCCCAACTCAGCCATGTTGCTGCACATGTAGAAGATAAAATGCACATTGCATGATGGGGGGGTGGGGGCGGTGAGGCCAAGGCTCCAGGCTAAGGGTTTCTGGTTACCACAGGCTACAGGGACCACCTTGCAAACTAAGGGCAGCATCTCAGCATAAGTATAACAACCAAGTTGAGAAGCTTGATCTAGGTTTTCTAGTATATTTATTTATAGTTCATATCCTTCAGTGACATTGCATGAATCATAAAGACGGCAATGTTAGTATAGCCTCTGTCTTTTGTATGAAAAAGCAAAGTAATAAGTAATTTCATCTTAACCCAGGCTGAGGTCAGCTGCCACCATGTATCTGGAGGGCAGGGAAAGGGCAAATTGAAATGATCTCTCCAAAGCAGGACAGATGTATTACAACCAGGCTGGGTCACTAGACTCATGTTCCTGGAGTGGCAGGTGGAAAGGAGCACCTGACTGTTACAGACCACTAAATGTCTACTTACACAGACTTGAAGGCTAAGGGAAGTCTAATTTTACAAATTATTTTAAAAGTTTGGGCAACTCCAGCATCAATATGGGCAACATATTGATGCCGGAGAGGATGGAAAATCACAATAGAAGTTTGATTTCTCAGGGCCATCCAGCACAGCAGTTTGCAAACTGTGTTATCAGAAACACTTCATACTCTTAAAAACCATCAGGGACTCCAGAGCATTTCTGTTTATATAAATAACACCTATCAATATGTACTGTTTTAGAAATTAAAATGAAAAATAATTTAATATATTATTAATTCACTTACAAATAACAATAAATTGATTTTATTGTTAATATAACTAACACTTGATGAAAAATATTTGCCAAAACAAAAAAAGCGAGCAGAATTGTATTATTTTACATGTTTGCAAGTCTCTTTAATATTTGGCACCTGTATTCTCATGTCAGCTTCTGCGTTGTCTGTTGCAGTTTGTCATATAACCTGTGGAAGATCCCGCTGTACACTCATGAGAGAATTAGAGAGAGAGTAATTATTGTGAAGTTACAGAATTATTAAGAGAATCATCTTAACTTTACAGACCTCCTGAAAGGGTCTCTGAGACTTCTTGGAGCCTCCAGAGCATACTTTGAAAAGTGCCACTTTTTCAGAAAGGATGGATGTCAGGCTCTTTATCTGGAGTTTTACTAACCTATTTTATAAATTATACTGAATGCCACATAAACAATAGAGAATGAGTACATGATTAAGTTTGAATTTCTTCAAATTAGTACAGTAATTAAAAATAATTTCACTTTCTTCATTAAGGTAATCCATTAAATGCAGAAATAAGTCATGTATTTACTTGTTTTATCACAGAAAAATACTTTTCCACCATAAGTCCTTATTACTGGTTTTGGGATTCATGCCCAAAATAGATGCCCAATAAATATTTGTTAAATAAATTTTCTTAGGATCTGTACAGCTGTAACAGACTCGATGCTGCCAATAGCTTTATGCCTTTCATTGGACTCTGTGAACTAATGAGGGCAGGATGTGAGCTAATGACACCATAGGATGTTAAGTCCACTCCAAGTTACAGATAATTAAAAAACTATCTTGGCTTCACCCAGGTGAGCAGGGTACAAAAATCCGCTGTCCCTATTGTACAAAAGAGGATTTCTTACGCTTCTCACCTTCTGCCAGAGGAACTATCAGGTACCCAGACTGAACTATCAGTTTCTAGTAAAATAATAACCTCCACCTTTTATTGAATGCTTACTAAGTGTCAGGGACTGCGCTAGGCATGCATGTCATGTTGTTTCATCTTTAAAATGAACTTCCACAGAGTCTCTTAACTGTTACAATCTGCCCAACTCCCTGACCTTTAATCACCTGGCTGCTTCTAGATTGAGGAAGAGACCTCCATCAGGGGGTAAGAGTAAGAATTGAAAAGGCTGTTTTTTGTTTTTGCATCTGCCTGTTCATATGATTAATGCAGATGAGAGGAGATGAAGGAGACAGTGAGAGGTGATTCAGTGCTTTTATCTCTGATGTGGCACCAACTTAAAAGCAGAGAATGGCTGCTTTAATTACTCTTCTGGGTCCTTATCAATCCTGGGTCCAAACTGAGCTCATGGAACAGGGTGGGAATCACTGGACCTCTCACTTGTCAGTTACTGAGTGGCTCTGAGCACAAAACCTTGGTAAAGACAAAAGCGTATTCTCTGTGTATTCTGTGTTCACGAGTTTAAACATGAGTGGGGTTTTTAAATATTTGTACACAGACTAATACACCAGGAAACATAAAGTATGTACTAGCACTGGCCTTTGAATGAAACTTTTGTGCTACCTGTGTAAAAGAGAGGAGAGAATGAGTTAAGATGTAGCTAATTTTGTGCTCTGAATAAATGTTTCCCCATGGCTCAGGAACCTTGGTGATAAGGGTAAAAATTTTCATAGAAGAACATAAACAAAGTTTCTTATTCTTAGTCTCTCCCTCAGAGATAAATTCTGGATTCAAATGCAGACCATGAAAATAGGTCACGAGCATTGCCATCTTCGGCCTGCCTGTCATAATTTTATCGTGGGATTCCCAAAGATGCTAAAGGAGCTAAAACTGGTTTTGACCTGTCCTCAAAGTCACTACATGGAGTTTTTCCTAGAGCTGATTGATGCTCACAAAAATCTATGGTTGTGGAGAGGCAGATCTTTCTTGAAGAACCTAGGAATAGTTTCTCAATTTTCAAATATCTGAAAGTTAGGAATTAATTACAATCAATGATAACACTATATAATCTTAGATAAAGAAAAAAACTAATAAATCACCTCATATAACCCCTTTTAGAGATGATAAAACCAAGGCTCAAGTGACTTGGCCAAATTTATATGATTTATTAGTGGTATAGTCTAGGACTGGGTTTTACATTTTTTTTAAGATTTTATTTATTTACTTTTAGAGAGAGGGGAAGGGAGGGAGAAAGGAGGAGAGAAGCATTGATGTGAGAGAGGTATATCAATGGGTTGCCTCTCGCACACCCCCAACTGGGGACCTAGCCCACAGCCCAGGCATGTGCCCTGACTGGGACTCCCACTAGTGATCCTTTTTTTTTTGGTTCGCAGGCCAGCGCTTAATCTACTGAGCCACACCAGCCAGCCCCTTATTTCTTCTAAGTATTTCAATAATCTTTTTATTAGGCATGACCATTACCCAGGATATTTATATTTAGGGAGAACTCAGGCTCAGTTTTACTTTTCCCTGCAATTAAGACCTTTCTGGCCCTGGCTGGGTAGCTCAGTTGGTTCGAGCATAGTCAGAATACACCAAGGTTTCCGGTTCAATCCCAAGTCAGGGCACATAGAAGAATCAACAATGAATGCATAGATAAGTGCAACAACAAATCGATGTCTGTCTGTCTGTCTCTCTCCACGTCTTTTTAAAAATCAATTTTAAAAAAAGAGCTTCCTGATCTTTTGATGTAAGGAAAACTACCATTTATTAAGCACCTCCCTTGTTCTGGGTTCTTCATATGTTATCTCATTGAATACTTAAAAGATTCTTGTAACTTTTTAAAAAAGATTTTATTTATTTCCAGAGAGAGGGAGGCAGGGAAAGAGAATGAGAGGGAGAGAAACATTGATGTGTGGTTGCCTCTTGTGTGTCCCTCATTGGAGAGGTGGCCCGCAACCCAGGCATGTGCCCTGACTGGGAATCTAACCAGTGACCCTTTGGTTCACAGGCCTGCGCTCAATCCACTGAGCTACGCAAGGCAGGGCAGATTCTGCTAACAATTTAATGGTCCTGTGAATCACCCAGGGATCTTGTTAACCAAGATTATGCAGGTCTGGGATGGGACTCAAGCTCTGCATTCCTAAAAAGCTTCCAGGAGAAGCCAATAATGTTTTTGATCTGTGGACCTTATATTGAGTAGCAAAGATGTTGGTTGATATTATCTTCATCTTACAGATGAAAAACTGAGGCTTACAGAGATTAAATAAACTGCCCAAGTTCATACCAGCAGTAAATGGTAGACTAGTGATTTGATCTAGGTCTTTCTGACTTTAAAGCTTAAGATGTGATAAAAAAAAAAAAAAAAACAGGGGAAAATGGAAAGAGAGCTTATGATCCAATATTTCTTAAACAGGTCATGTCTCAAGTGAGTCAGTGGCAGATTCCAGAATGAAATCAGAGTCCTAGCTCCAGCCAAGTGTTTCCTCTTTTCCCTCTCATCACTCCCCTAATCAAGACCTTTCCTTTGTGCTTAGCAACCCATATTTAGATTGGCTCTTGGGCTTTCTCCACTACAGGTTTATTGCCAAACCCTGTGCACTCCATGTTGGCATCCAGGACAGTGGTCCTTATCAGGCTCAACCCAATGCCATCCTTGAAAAGGTGTTCATATCTATTACCAAGGTAAGTGGGCAAAGAAACAGAAGATTTATATAAGGTTGCTCCTTGGGACAGGGGAAGATAGAGGACAAGTATCTCCAAGGGTTAGGCTAGAATGGGTTAGGTAGTCATTACATCTGTATCCCCTCAGGAACATACCTTTGGGCCAGGGTATAAGTCGAGTACACATACACTAGAGTTTTAGGCCCAGCAGCCACTACCGCCCCTTGCTCCCCAGATACACCATATCTTAATTTGGTTTTTCCCTGCTCCAGCTTTTGTCAGTACCTAACTGCATAATTAAGATGGGAATTGACCACCATTGCAGTTTGGGTTTTAATACCTTTTTTACTCAGCTTAGGCTGGAGGGAGAAGACCAAACAAGGATGTGTATAGGTGAGTGGTAAAGGTCCTTAATGTGTGAAGTAGCACTTCTTACTAAAAATGACTTTTGAGGTGAAACTAGGAAAGATAAACGTCACTTGAGCCACTGTAGTTCACCCCTTTGTCACTCACCTAGTCAAAGGGATGTAATGAGAGGTTTGAAGAAAAAGATATGTTCTGACTGGTCAATGCCTCTGCAGTATCCTGACGAGAAAAGGCTGGAGGGCCTGTCAAAGCAACTGGACTGGGACATACGAAAAATCCAGTGCTGGTTTCGCCATCGGAGGAATCAGGACAAGCCCCCAACGCTCACTAAATTCTGTGAAAGCATGTAGGTGTGCAGAGGAAAGTGGGGAATGAGGAGAGGGTGGGGTATGACTGGGCTGTTTTCTTTTTGGAAATCACTTCTCTTGTTAGCACAACAGTTGGTGAGGGTGAGGGGTTTAACTCAGTTTATTACAGTCAGGAAGAAGAGAGCTGGAAGACTGCTCACCCTTAGTTTCTTGGACATACCTGCCACTAAGTTAGATGTAGTTTCATTTTGTTCCTCTTTCCCAAATAGATTGGGAGTGAATCCCTTCACATAGGTAGGTGTGCACTGCACACACGTGTGCACTTTGACAGCAGTAGTACCAGTTTGCTCTAAGTGGACATTTTGGTGGGCAGCACCCCTTTTCCGGACATATTGTACTTCATTTCACTGGGTTTTACTAATTCCCCTCCGGGCACAGAGCACTGTATTTATCATTGTGGGGCAAAAGAAAATAATAGGCACTGTCATCAGGGCGTCTGATATGGAAGAAAAGTTGTTTAAAGCCATATGCGCTTGTGGAAATTTATTTTAAACAGAGGCTGAAAGATGTTGCTATTTTACTGGCTTTTGAGGTAACAATATTTGTCCCTATTCTGGGGACTTATCTTCTTTCTCACCAGTAACTGTCTTATCCCCAAATCTGCTATCTTCTTTAGCCTCAAAGAATATTTGAGTGAGTATTCATCTAACCTCTACTCTGCCCATCCAGGTGGAGATTCACTTTTTATTTATGTATATTCTGCTACGGAATTAGATTTCTTTGGTCGGTGAGTATGAACTTTCTTTGGTTTTCTCTTGCATTCTAATCATGACTATATTTCTAGAGATGGCTTAAATACTGTTAGATCTCTGTTTTTCCCTTTTTTTCTGTGATGCCTACAGCCCAGGTTTATATGTTAAGTGGTTGCCTTCTATCTGGGGCCTGACTTCCATATCCTCATAACTCTACTGTTTCTCCCCTAAATAGTGCTAGTACTAATTAGTGTTGATTAAATCAGTATAATGCATGATGGTCTACAGAGCACTAGACAAAACATCTTGTTCTTCCAGGAGAAACAGTTACAGAAATGGAAACAGTAACCCTTTAAAGTAGGTAAACAGGTATAGTTCTTACTTCTTCAGTTAGCTGTCAGAGTCAAAGAATTTCAGGCTTTTTGATTTCTGATTCCATGTTTGTTTGTTTGTTTGTTTTATCACAGCACCAGCCTATTTCTCTAAATGATATCATTAAGGCTCCAAAATACATAAAGCAAAAAGAGGTAGAATTGAAGGACGAGGATAGACAAATACATAATCATCCTTGAAGATTTTAATCCTCTTCTATGTAATTGACTAAATCATTAGATTAAAAAATGCCACGAAGGATATAGTTTTCAACAACACAATCAACCAATTTGACCTAATTGACACTTACAGAACAGTACACCAGCCCCTGAAGAACGTATATATAATTTTCCAGTGCACATGGAATGTCAACTAAGATAGATTGTATAGTAGGCCATAAAATAAATCTTGGCCTCCTGGTGCTTACCATACCTGTATATACAAAAAGAGGAGGCAGAGTAGACCCACCCCATATACACCTCACCTGGGCCCTTTGCCTGGTCTGTATTGTGAATGGAAAGACATGGAGAATGAACGAATGAATCTCAGTAAATTTTAAAATATTGAAATCTTACAGAATGTGTTCTCTGAGTATAATGGGATTAAATTAGAAGTCAGTAATAATAAGATATCCAGGTAATATTTGTCAATGAAACAATTCTGCTACATAATCGATGGATCAAACAAGAATTCACAAGGGAAACTTTTAAATATTTTGAATTGAATGATGCTGAAAATACAACAAGCCAAAATCTGTGGGATACAGCTAAAGCATGCTTAGGGGGAAATTTATAACTTTAAATGTTTATGTTAGGAAAAAATAAAGCTTTAAAAATCAGTGTTCTAAATTTCCATTTTAAGATCTGGAAAAAAGAAGAGCAAAGCAAACCCAAAGTAAGTTAAAGGAAAGAAATAATTTTTAAAAATAAGCAAAAATTAATGAAATAGGAATTAGATGAACAGCGGAAAAAACTAATAAAGCCAAAAGTTGGTTCTTTGAAAGTTTTGATTAAAATTGATAAACCCCTAGAAAAATGAGAAAACAAATTCTTGGTATCAGAGAGTAAAAGGAATTATCACTATAGATCATATAGACATTGAAAGAGTAATAAGACAACAATATGAACAACTTAATAGTAATAAATCCAACAACTTGGATGAAATGGACAAATTCCTTAAAGGACATAATTGAAAATCCACTAGAAGTTACTACTCTTGACTTCTGAATCTCTGACATGGAGATCTTTCTGTTGGTTATCAAATGGAGTCATTGTCTTCCTGCCTTCCTGTCTGCAATACATCCCAGGTGGTGATGCCTTCAGAAACTATCCTAGAGTTCTTCCTGCTCTTATTTACCTCAAAGCATGATTTTTCTATTTGTACTAACACTTTAAGTTCTATAAGAAAAGTCAAGCAATTTATTTACCCTTTAAAGATTTTAAATTCTGTCAAGATGGATTCCTTTTTCTTTCCCATCTCCCTGTTCCCCTTGTATCATAGCGAGGTGGGGATTATAAGTGAGTCAGGGGAGAATCCCCAAAACTGACCTGGATTATTTGTTTTCTCTTAGTCAGCTTGGTTTTGGGACACCCGACAGTGCTGGCATAGTTATCCGTACCAGGTAGGATCTGAGCCCTTTCAGGACAGGGCCCTTATACGTGTGTGTAAAGTGGGTTGGGGCAGAGTGCCACCGTAGAGCAGATGGCACATTTCTTTGGTATTCTTACGGGTTTAGGAGTTGAGTTTCTTTGAGTAATATATTCAGGGTATCTATTTGTGGTCCCCATCACTGTGAAATTGAGTCATCTTTTTATTCCAGTTCCCCATTATATTCACCCTAGTTGGGCTGGAAAGAAAAGCAGCTTACTGGCATTAATGAGCTGCTTTCTGGTTCATGTGTCCCTTTTGAATCAAAGGTAACTTGGAGTCCCCTTAATCTATGGTAGAAAAATGTCAGGGAGCTCCTAACAGGGTGGAAGAAGGGAAGGCCTGAGTATATTTAATCTCCCAAAAAGTATTAATTATTTGATCCTGCTATAGTATGTATTAACTTTATCTGATCTCTAAAAGATGAGAGCTGAAGATATGTAGGTAAAAGGGCAGAGGGAAGAGGTTTAAGCCTCTATACCAACCCAAAGCCTGTTAGCTATTGCAGATCTTGTAATGATGGGGAGGAAAGATGTCTAATAATTTTGGGTATTGGTCCTCCAAGGCAGAGAAGTTTGCAGAGATAGAATGAATCTTTGAGTAGCTGGCATTCTAACTACTTCTTTCTTTCTTTCTTCCAGCCTCTCACAAGTGGACTTTATTACTATTATATCATGGAATTGGCCTTTTATTGGTCTCTTATGTTTTCTCAGTTTACAGACATTAAAAGAAAGGTAAGGACACTGGCTCCCTCAATTTCCTAACTTGTTATAGCCTCCTTCCTAGCAGCTACCATTCTGCCATTGTGATGGATTCTCTGTCCTGACTGGGACTACAAAAGAGGGAGAAAATAGGTTTGATGGGAACATTTAGCTCTTTGTAATGTTCTCAGAAATGAGACCTGACTAATGAAGAAGTATATTTGAGGCATTCAGGGCAGCTAGGATGAGAACAATTAACAAACTAAGCATACCCTTTTCTTTATCTTTTTCCAAGGTTCTTACATGTATAAAGCTCAGGAAACTAGTCAGAACTTAGGAATAGCAAGTCATGATCCAGGACAAGGGCTGAATCCATAAAGGCTAAATCTGGCTTTTGCTTGACATTAGGAATCCTTGTTCTCTCTCTTCTTTCCCTTCTTGGTGACCCCACTTACTCAAAGAATTTTAGCTGGAAGAGGTTTTAGATTATTTTGTTTACCCTTTTCTTGCTATTGGAAATGAATTAAGTTTTAAGGGTTTTTGCTTTTTTAAGACTTTATTTATTTGTTTCTAGAGAGGAGAAAGGAGAAAGAAAGGGAGGGAGAGAAACATTAATGTGTGGTTGCCTCTTGCTCATCCCCCAGTGGGACCCTGGCCCAAAACCCAGGCATGTGCCCTGACTGGGAATTGAACTGGCAACCCTTTGGTTCAAAGGCTGGCGCTCATTCCACTGTGCTACACCAGCCAGGGCTGAATTAAGTTTTTTTTTTAAACAGACATAATCTTCATATCTTATTCTTGTCCACTTTATATAATGTAGTGTCATCAGCTCTAACCCTAATTCATTACTAACTTGTGGTTATCTTTGGTGAGGAAAACCAAAGTTAGCATTTTTGGGAATGGACACAGACTAATCTGGATTGTTAATTGTTGTGTAACCTAAAAGCTTGATACTCAATTCAGATGCCCTTCACTCTCCTATGGTCAGGAGACACAGGTCCCCTTATTAAGATTTTATTTTAATACGCCCTGGCTGGTGTAGCTCAGTGGATTGAGCGCTGGTTGGGAACCAAAGTGTCACAGGTTCAATTCCCAGCCAGGGTACATGCCTTGGTTGCAGGCTATAACCCCCAGCAACCGCACATTGATGTTTCTCTCTTTCTGTCTCCCTCCCTTCCCACTCTGAAAGTGAATGAATAGAATCTTAAAAAAAAAAAAAGATTTTATTTTAATACATGATACAAATATAAAAGGTTTGTAATATATATGTAGGTTTGAAAACATACTAAAATGTATACTTGTGAACCCATCCCCAACTCAAAAACTAGAATATACCATTGTATTTGTTTCATCCCTATTTCTCTGACCCAAATTTACCTATTTCTCCCACCCTCTGTCCCTAGCTGGACTGAGAAGTTGTTATTGGACTGAAAGCTATGTCTGATAACTCAGGTATTTAGAGATTTCTCCAGGTCTAACTTTGGCATTGGAATCCAAGATGAAATTAGAGCTTTAAATATGCTTTGAGATATATTAACATAGATTATGGGTTAGTCACTGATGTAGAGAGTTTGGGCTAGGCATCTTCCTAATGGAGAGCGTAAACAAAATGGAACTTCTAAGGGTGGGATAAGATTGTCAGAGAAAAATGTAGGGCACGAGTTGGCCAGCGTGTCTATGGTCTTGCCTGTGCCGCCTCTTCTGTTTCCATTTCTTCCTAGGACTTCCTGATCATGTTTGTGCATCACTTGGCCACCATTGCGCTCATCACCTTCTCATATATCAACAACATGGTTCGGGTAGGAACGCTGGTCATGTGTCTACATGATGCCTCAGACTTCTTGCTGGAGGTACGACCCAACCTCTCTTTCCTCGTTGTTCCCCTCTTTCTCTCCTTTTCTTCCTGAGAACAGGCTTTCTCCTCAACTCAGCTCTTACCTTCCCTTCTCCAGGCAGCCAAGCTGGCCAATTATGCCAAGTATCAGCGTCTCTGTGACACCCTTTTTGTGATCTTCAGTGCTGTTTTTATGGTCACTCGTCTAGGAATCTATCCATCCTGGTAAGTGTTAGGGCTGTGGAGCTGTGGTAGGTATGTAGCTAATGGTACCTTTTGTCAGCTTAGGAAGTAGACCACCACGAACCTGATCGCACTGCTTTTTTCCTTGATCTCACCTGACCTTTATGGACTCTCACAAGACCTCAGTTCCCTTGCATAATATTTCTAGTGAAGCGTGATCCAGACTCAGAGCATCCAACTCATTCGGCTGTGGCTTTCCTGGCTCATCTCTGAAAAACAGTTCTCATTTTATACCTGAGTAATTCCTTTGCTCTCTTTTGTGCTGATTAAGAAATTCTCAGGCTCTTCTTGCTTGTTTTCCTGCTCTGCACCCTCTCCCCCACCTTGACCAACACACACACTCGCACACACACATACACCTCTCACTTCTACACTCACTACTTAATAGTACAAAGTCAGCAACTCTGTGGGTTGGAGATCATGCTTAGTCTGAGGGAATCGGCTACCAACTTTTTTTTTAATTGATTGATTCTTAGAAAGACAGAGGAAGGGAGGGAGATAGATATCATCTCTGTCCCTAAAAAAGAAAACACTTCATAGGCTCCCTTTCTTTATTCTTTTCTCACTGTGGGTGAATATCCATGGAACATGAACTGAGAGAAGGTGCGGGAAGCACAGGTTCTGCTTCCCAGGGAACTCAGCTTCAACCTTATGTGCCTGGCTTCAACTCTAGAACCTGACCATTGGTCTCCCTCTTTTAGGATTCTGAACACAACCCTCTTTGAGAGTTGGGAGATGATCGGGCCCTATCCCTCCTGGTGGCTCTTCAACGGCCTTCTCCTGACCCTACAAGTTCTGCATGTCATCTGGTCCTACCTAATTGCACGAATTGCTTTCAAAGCCTTGATTCGAGGAAAGGTCAGTATAAGAGATGGCTTCTTTCTTTGGGGCTGGGTAAGAAAGACTGGTATTACTCAATAGGCCTCTCTCAGTCTAGCCTGGTGAGCCCCATCTACACAAGCAGACCCAGCAAACAGCCTAGGGATCAGAGTTTTCATCTTTTCTATAAGTTTGAGTATTTAGCCTGTTAGGACATGACTTAGATGTAAGAGGAAGGATCTTCCTTCTTGTCCCTGAGAAATGACTGTTGTTAAATAATGAACAGGATTAAGTTTTAGAGGTGGCCTCAGCCATTTCCTACCCCTTACCTGCTTTAGTGGGTTTCATATTTTTGTTTTTTAGCTGGCCTTTTATCTTTTTCCTTCCTTTCTTTTTTTTTTTAAGTTTTATTTATTTATTTTCTTGTGGTGGGGGGTAGAAATTCAACGTGTGAGAGAAACATTGATAGGTTCCCCCTTGCACGCTCTCAGCTGGGGACCATGTGCTGCATCCCACGCGTGTGCCCTGACTAGGAATCAAACCAGTGACCTTTCAGTTTGTGGGACAATGCCCAACCCACTGAGCCACACCAGTCTGGGCTAATTTTTTTTTAATTTATTGATTTGAGAGAGAGAGAGAAATATCAGTTTGTTGTCCCACTTATTCATGCATTCATTGGGTGATTCTTATATGTGTCCTGACCAGGGATCAAACGTAAAACTTGGCATATTTGGATGATATTATAACCAACTGAGCTACTGGGCCAGGGAAGAAGCCTTTTTTCAAAGGAAATCATATGCAGAGCTCTAAGATAAAAACTAAGAGTAGAGATTGCCTATGGTTCACAAGCCACCCCAAAATGACTGCATTCTGGTGTTCAAGATATGGTTTGTGTAAGGGACTAAGTACTGGCCTCACCCAACTGTTGTATGAGGTGAACGTCCTAAGTGAGATCGGTATTTAGGGTTTCAAATACCCATTTTATGCTCAGAGCCCAAAAGCACAAAGAAAGATATCATTTCATGACAAAATTCACTAAGTGAATCCAAGTTCTGAAGCAGTCAGGTTTTAATTAGCCCAAGGGCTGGCATTCAGCCTTCAGTAATACAGAATCCCAAGGGAGAGGAGCTCTGCTAGAGGACACACTGACTCCAGGACAAAGGGATGGAATGTTGTCTGGGCATATATGACCTCTATGTCTGTTCCTTAGAGCTGCGATTGGTTATAGAACTTGCACAGTGTGCCTGCATATCTTGCTGTAGCTACTGGACATCTCTTCTCCCCCCTGCTTTTCTTTCCTGCCCAGGTGACTTATCCAGGAAGGATTAGACCCAGACTCTGTACTCTCCACTCTTTTCTCACCTCCTTCCTTTTTTCTATGCCTGGTGGGAGCTGGACAGTTTCATCTCTTGCATGTAAGTGTATCTGTGCTTCTGGTATTCATCGAAGCATGTCTGTCTGAATGTGTTTCTCTTCCTTCCTGCTTTTCTTTCTGTTCCCATGTTGTCTGAAAGTGTGCCCCTCTCTCCTGACCTGTGGGGCCATTGGTGACTGGAGTTCAAGTTGCCAGATTTTCCTAAATGGAGGCAAGAATGGAGTCTACTCTATTTTTTCCTTTCTGATTTTCTTCCCTCCTGCCTCACCCCTGCCTTTTTGAGATTCCCTTTACCACAGATCTAGACACACTGTCAGAAATTTCCTAAAGATCAGGCAAGCAATTAGTCATTTGAGTTCAGAGATCAACAGCTTTTAATAGGATCTTAGAGCTAACCAAAGCAAGTGCCCTACTTCTTAGAAACAATAATTATACCTCTGTTTTCTTTTCAGCCCCCTTCTCTCATTTATTTTTATTTTAAAGACAGCACACATTTATTATCCTTCATTTCTGGAGGCCAGACGTCTGGCATAGGTCTCACTGGGTTTCTCTCTCTTACTTTTACGGTCTATTGTAGAGAATTTGAAATACTTTGCTTGATATGCAGGATAATTTAGATTTGAAAACACTACTATAATCCAAATTCTTTTTTATATGTATTTTATTTATTTTTAGAGAGAGGAGAAGGGAGGAGAAAGAGAGGGAGAGAAACATCAGTGTCTGGCTGCCTCTTGTGCACCCCCTACTGGGGACCTGGCTGGCAACCCAGGCATGTGCCCTGACTGGGAATTGAACCTACTGCCCTTTAGTTCACAGACTGGTACTCAATCCACTGAGCCACAGCAGCCAGGGCTAATCCAAATTCTTCATTTGAAAATATAAACAAAAAAGCTGAGGTTAAGCAGTAAAGATTCACAAATAGTAGCATGATTGGGACTAGGACTCTTTTTCTCTCTGACCACCAATCCACTTTTCACCATGTGGATCACCATTGGGTTAGAATACCAAAGTTACACAAGAGAAGTGATCCTGCTCCTGGGGAAAGGGAGAAGACTGGAGAAGTGTATCATAGGATATTGATAGTTGAGCCCTGAAAGAATAGAACTACTAAAAAAGGCCTAGTATGGATCACCTTTGGAGACAGCAAAACTTAGGATAACCAATATGAATAACTGCAGTGGCCATAGCCACCAGAAGGTAGACACAGTGATGACAGCTGTACACATTATTTATGTTGACCTTTTCTGTTTTTTGAGATGGAGGGGAAGAAGGGATGTCTGGGGTGTCCCTCAAACCTAAATCAGGAATCAGCGAATGATTTCAGCTCTCTTAGACTGGTCCTGAAACATACACCCCTCAACCAAAGTAGCTACTTATTCTGTAGAGAACAAAAGCATAAATGATGAGAGAGAAGCCCAGGAAGCAGGCAAAGGCTACAACAGTAGCCATGGTCCAGGTAATATTTTGAGTCAGGTACCATCAGAAAGTAGGCCAAACTGGGAACAGCGCCCACACATGGGCTCTGTAGGACTTGTCTCTCTTACATTTCCAGAAGTTCTGTCCTCACCTTTTCTTCCTTTGGCCCAATCCCACCTAGGTGTCTAAGGATGATCGCAGTGATGTGGAGAGCAGCTCAGAGGAAGAAGAAATGACCTCCAACACAAAAAGCCCCTGTAGCAACAGCTCCAGCAATGGTGCCAATAGGGTGAATGGTCACACGGGAGGCAGCTACTGGGCAGAAGAGTAGAATGGTTGGTATGAGGACTTCCGCACACATGGACTTATAGGGCCACTGGCAGCCTACTCCTCTCGGGCCTCCCCATACCTACAATCCTGTGACTAGGGGTCTGCAGGGCACCGAGGAGAATCAAAGAAGCAAATATTTTCACTTTTTAAAAACCTCTGCCATTTTGTATTTAATAGCCTCCCAGGTTCTTTCAATAATATTATTTGCTTGTGTGTGTTTGTGTGTGTGCATGTGCATTTGTGCATATGCATTAGTTTCATTGGCTGGGTTAGAGCACAATTCCGAACTGGGACCACTAGGCCTTGCCTGGTCCCCTTTGAACCCACCTCAATCCCAGATTGGGCTGCATCTTGAAATATGCTGGCTCTGGACTGTCCCCTCCCTTGTTGTCCATGACTCTTGAGGCTCTGGCCATCTGATGGAACAGCCAAGTTCAGCTACCAGTTTCTGCACTGTTCTTCCTTCGGAGCTGGAATATTTCACATAAAGTTGTGTAGAAACTGACAACCATGGATGAATGGCCAGGATTGCTGTGGCCCCTAGCTAGATCCCCTTCCTACCACCTGGCAGTAACAGGGACAGCTGCTGATACCCTGCTTTTTACTCAATGGTACGCAGGGAGTGGGGGGTGGGAGAGGTTGAGCTGAGGGCTGGAGGAGGACAACAGCTACTGGGTAAGCTGTTAACAGTTTATACTATTGTTTACTCTTCTGTGATTAAAGTGCTTCAACCCTCCTCTGCTATCTCAAACTCTTTAGTGACTCTATCCCCAGTTCCCTGTATCCATAAGCTAATTAAGAATTTTTTTCAGGTCTGATGCTAGAAGCCATTGGACACCCAATTTTTCCATTCTGTGCATGCTGGGAAGAGAGTGCCAGCCTACATTTTAGGACTTTATGTTTTAAGAAAAAGTAAACATGTAGTGGTCACAAGAAAAAATGCTGAGCAAATAAAAGCATGTATATCACCAAACCAACAAAGATTTTGGTTGAAGAGCTAAGACACCTTTAGTTAGACACCTGTGTTTCCCATTTTATTGAATACAGATGCTGCCAGTTAACATTTTAAGATTAGGATAAATGAGTCTCAGCAAATGTTTTCTCTTTTAGTCCTGTTTTCTCTTTTAGCCCACAGAGAAAGTCTTCCTAATCCAGACTTTTCTCTAGTTGAGGTATTGGCAAAATTACCGATAGTAGTAGTATGCATGTCTCAGGATATTTTTTATTTGGTGAATATTCATATTATCAAAATATTTCCAGGTGCTCTGTATACATTAAGACACCTCATTGTCAGGGAGATGGATGCAGATTAAAAGAAATAGGTATTGTTCTAAGAATCAGATACTCACTAGATGTTCACTGGCAATATCAGGATATTGACCCTACTAACGTTACTGAGTGGCTGGATTTTTAAAAGACTTACTCTGAGGCATGGGAAAATTAACTTCTGAAAAATCTTACATATTTAGTCAAAGCTGGTCAGTAAGACTAAGGTCTTATACTGTTAGTCTTATACACTTAGTTCCTCAACTTGCCATATTGTTAAATAGTAATTATAAAATACGAATGAAATGCTTTTGAAAGTCAGACAAGATATGTATTTTGCCTTCTGAAACTTAAACAATAGCTTTGTAAATTCATTCTGGGTTAGTTGGCCCAGTTAATCTAACAAAACATACAAACAAGTGGCATAATAATAGCTAACACATAACTTTGTGTTATATGCCAGGCACTGTATAAAGCATGCTATATTTGATAAAAATTAAGCAAAAAGAGGTTAACTTACCTAAGGTCAAACAGCTAGTAAAGAGTCAAAGCTGGTGTCTATATTTTTTTAATACAAGATTTTATTTGTTTTTAGACAGAGGGGAAAAGGGGGAGAAAATAAGGGAGAGAAACATCAGTGCATGGTTGCCTCTCACGTTCCTCCTACCAGGGACCTGGCCCACAACCCAGGCATGTGCCCTGACTGGGAATTGAACCAGCAAACCTTTGGTTCACAGGCTGGCACTCTATTCACTGAGCCATGTCAGCCAGGGCTCTATTCTTTCTTGTTTTTAAATAATTTTTTAAAAGATTTTATTTATTTCTAGAGAGAAAGGAAGGGAGGAGAAAGATAGGGAGAGAAACATCAGTGTGTGGTTGCCTCTTGCACACCCCCAACTGGGGACCTGGCCCACAACCCAAGCATGTGCCCTCACTGGGAATTGAACTGGTGGCATTTTGGTTTGCAGGCTGGCTACTGGATCCACTGAACCACACTAGTCAGGGCTTAATAGATTTTTAGAGAGAGAAAAACATCAATTTGTTGTTCCATTTATTTATGTATTCATTGGTTGTTTCTTATATGTGCCCTGACTGGAGACTGAACCTACAACCCTGGTGAATTGGGACAATGCTCTAACCAACTAAGTTACCTGCCCACAGTCCAGTGTCTCTATTCTTTTTTTTTTTGTAATATATTTTATTGATTATGCTATTACAGTTGTCACATTTTCCCCCTTCTCTCCCCTCCACCCTGCACACCTTCTCCCACCCACATTCCCCCCCCCTTTAGTTCATGTCCATGGGTCATAAGTTCCTTAGCTTCTACATTTCCCATACTATTCTTGCCCTCCCCCTATTTTCTACCTACCATCTATGCTACTTATTGTCTGTACCTTTTCCCCCTCTCTCTCCTCCCACTCCCGTTGCTAACCCTCCATGTGATCTCCATTTCTGTGGTTCTGTTCCTGTTCTAGTTGTTTGCTTAGTTTGCTTTTGCTTTAGGTGTGGTTGTTAATAATTGTGAGTTTGCTGTCATTTTACTATACATGTTTTTTATCTTCTTTTTCTTAGATAAGTCCCTTTAATATTTCATATAATAAGGGCTTAATGATAATGAATTCCTTTAACTTGACTTTATCTGAGAAGCACTTTATCTGCCCTTCCATTCTAAATGAAAGCTTGGCTGGATAGAGCAATCTTGGATGTAGGTCCCTGCCTTTCATGACTTGGAATGCTTCTTTCCAGCCCCTTCTTGCCTGCAAGGTCTCTCAAGAAATCAGCTGACAGTCTGATGGGAACTCCTTTGTAGGTTACTATCTCCTTATCTCTTGCTTCTAGGATTCTGACCTTCATTTTAATCTTGGGTAATGTAATTATGATGTGCCTTGTTGTGTTCCTCCTTGGGTACAACATTTTTGAGACTCTATGAGCTTCCTGGACTTCTTGGAAGTCTATTTCTTTTGCCATATTGGGGAAGTTCTCCTTTATTATTTGTTCAAATAACTTCCACTTGTTTCTCTTCCTCTTCTGTTATCCCCCTACAATTTGGATGTTGGAACATTTAAAGATGTCCTGGAGGTTCCTAAGCCTCTCCTCATTTTTTTGAATTCTTGTTTCTTCATTCTTTTCTGTTTGGTTGTTTCTTTCTTCCTTCTGCTCCACTCCATTGATTTGAGTCCCAGTTTTCTTCCCATCACTATTGGTTCCCTGTGCATCTTCCTTCATTTCAGTTAGTATAGCCTTCAGTTTTTTTCATCTCATTTGCGACCAAAATCAACCAATTCTGTGAGCATCCTGATCACCAGTGCTTTGATCTGTGCATCTGATAGGTTGACTATCTCTTCGTCACTTAGTTATGTTATTCCTGGAGTTTGCTCTGTTCTTTTATTTGGGACTTTTTTTTTTTCAGTCTTGATGTACCTGTTAGTAGTGAGGGGTGGAGCCTTAGGTGTTCTCCAGGGCAGGGCACCCAGGCCTGCATTGTGACACTGTTTGTGGGGGAGGGGTCCGAGAGGGAACAGTGGCACTTGCTCTGCTCTCTGCTGGATTTCAATCCCTTCCACTGCTTCCCCCAAGCAAACTGGTCCCTTTTGGTGCTGATTCCCAGGTATGTTGGCTTGTGTATGTTCTAGGCCCCTGTGGGTCTCTCCAACGAACTCTCCCATTAGGCTGGGAGTCTCTCCTGGCACCTCCACCCCTACAGGTGTTTTCAGTCAGTGTTTTCAGTCAGTGTTTTGAGGCTTTATATCCTGGCACAGGAACCCTGGGTTGTATGGTCTGTCTCACTCCCCAGCTTCGCCTGGTTTATCTGCACAAGAATGTGGGACCATCCAGTCCGCCAACCACCTTGTGCGCCACACCCCTCCATGCACACTCCGCAGCCTCACTGGGTTTGCCTGCTGCCACCCCGCGCCTGGGGTCTGCCAGCCGCCACTTTTTTTTGCCATGACCCCTCTCTGCCTGGCGCCCTCCTACTTGTCTGGATGAATGTATCTATTTTAACTCCTTGGTTGTTGGACTTCCATACAGTTCAATTTTCTGTCAGTACTGGTTGTTTTTTTGTTTCTAATTTTTGTTGTCCTTATTTTGGTTGTGTGAGGATGCACAGTGTGTCTACCTACACCTCCATCTTGGCCGGAAGTCCTGAGGTGTTATTTCTCAGTGTCTCGATTCTTAACCACTATACTCTACCACTTCCCAAGACTTCACAATGAGGAAGAATATATATTGAAGAAACATTTAGCAAAGGCATAGACTGATTAAAGTTGGCCTTGGATGAGTGAATTGAGGTTAGGGTCAGTTACAGGAACAAGGTCTTATTCTGAGAAGGAACCGTATACATATAGGAGGTGAGAGAGGGGGTGCTAGAGGGTTTGAATCCCAGAAGATAATAGTGTTATTACGGCATATACTAGTTTCACAGATGGCTGGAGAAGTTTTCATGCCCGACAGGAAGGACACAAATTAGTGGACAGCAGGTTAGATGCAGACTCACATCATCCCTATCAGAGAACTAGGAATATTTGTAAGAGAAGCAGGGTATGGTCTCTCCTCTATTAAATATGAGTTTTAACTTTATTGAAAAAAATAACTCATTTATGTGTAAGTACTTTACTGCTTAAAAAATGGTTTCACATACATGAAAAAGTGAACTTAAGGACACTTTTGTAGAGGTAGGATTATCCCCATTCCAAAAATTAGTATTATGGTTGTCTATTACTATGTAACTAATCACCCTAAAATAGTGACTTAAAAGAACAATTTATTATTTCTCATGCTTTGGTTGGTGGACTGAGCTCAACCAGAGGTATTTCATGTGGCTGCAGTCAGATGACAGCTAGGAATACAGTCATTTGAAGACTCAGCTGGACTGGATGTCTAGCATGATTTACTAGCCTGGCTAGAAGTTAGTGCTGGCCATTCCATAGGAATTCAGTGAGGACTGTCAACTAAGATTCCTGTACGTGATCTCTGTGTCTTGGGCTTTGCACAAGTGGTTGTGTTCCAAGAGGCAGGAAGCAGAAGTTGGTAAGTCATTTAAGATTCATCTAGAATTGGCACACATCACTTCCACTGTATTATATTAATCAAAGTAATCACAGGGACCACCTAAATTCAAGGGGGTGGTGAGACAAAATCTACTTCTTGATTGCAGAAGAGCATGTGGAATGGGAGACACAGTTGCATTCATCTTTGAAAAATTCAATCAGCCACAATGAGGAAGCTGTTTCAGGAGTTACTTGAAAAACAAACAGGGTAGTGAACACAGTGCAACACAAAGATGATGTATTATAGAATGATATACTTGAGACAAAATATTAAGCAATGTTACCCAACACATTTAATATAAAAAAAAACACACAACAACACTGAGGTTGCTCATCACGTATCATGAACTCTCACATTATCACAATCCTAAAAATAATGAGTTTAGTTAATGGGTGATAATATGCTGATTTTAAACCAAGTTCTTCAGACTTTAAATCCATCCATGTGGGGAAATATTTTCAATTCAATAAAACATTAAGGGCCTATTTTATGATAGGCACTGTGGCAGAAGCTGGGGATGCAGAGATGAACAAGATCTGGTTTCTACCCTCAAAGAGCTCATACCCCAGTAAGGGGAAAAAAATACAATGTGATAAAAACTGTCCTAAATTATTCTTGGCAATGTGGGAGAAAACTTGAAAGTGGCCCTGGGCCAGTAAAAATGAATGGAGTTTTACCTGGAAAACAGGAATAGAAAGGTATTATGTTTAGACGTGAGAGTATATGACAGGTAGTTCTGGCTTAATGCATACTAAAATAACCTGAGGCAAGCATCTAGAAATGGTGGATAGTTGTTCTTTTTTTTAAACGCATAGCTGAGATTCCAAGAAAAGGTTAAAGCCACAAAGAAAGAAATTGAAAGCTAGAGCAAAAGGCACACAGTTGATGCAATATTGAAGGGATAATGGGCATATAACTTAAGGCCCTGGGTTTTAATGCTGACCACAAGAGACAAGGCTGGCCCAGTGCAGGAAGCTGGACCTGAGACCCCCAGTTAAGGCTGGGACCCTGAAAGAGCAACAGCCTTCGTGAAAGGGAGGAAACTAAAAAATTCGCCCAGTTGGCAAAAGGAGAAAAGTTTGAATGCTTGGGTTTGTAGGGTCAGGAGACTCTTGAGAATTTTCTCAAATTCTGGGCCCATATTTCATGTGAATCTGAGCACCTAAATGTACACTTCCTGTGTGGTCTGGGAAACACCTCAACCCACACCCCATTCCCAGGTAAGAACTTGAATGAAAATTGGTCTCAGATTGGTTATCCATGGGGCTGCTCTGGAGAGACACACAGGATGATACAGACAACATGGGATACTTATACCATTACCACCGCCCCACCAAATAAGAGCTCCAAAAGATATCTCAGTCAAACCTTCAACATATATAACCAAATACTAGTAACTAGAACATATCTAATTAAAGAAATAACAAAGACAAACCAATACCAAGAAAGAAGGAGAAGGGAGTATGAGAAGCAAAGAGTATAAATAGGCAGTTCCTAGAGGATGAATATGCTAATAGATAATAAATCAATGTAAACATGCTCAACCTTACTGGAAATCAATGACATTAAAGTGAACAGAAACCACTTTAGACCAACAGAATGTGTGGACATATTGCTGGTGAGGGTGAAATTGACATAACTACTTTGGAAAAGCAGTAACTAGTAAAGCTAAATCTCTTGGAGAAACTAGCATGTGGGCTGAAGGAAACATACTAGGATACTCATTGCATTGCTATATATAAGAGGGGGAAAAGTAGAAATGACCCATTGCTCTTTCACTAGAGGAATGGAATAAATTGATTTACTAATACAAATATACAGTGCTCCTTGAACAACAGGTTTGAACTGTGCAGGTACACTTATACATGTATTTTTAAAAGATTTTAATTTTAGGGGGAAGAGAGTAAAAGGATTGAGAATAGCAGAAAGCTAGGATTTTTAGGAAGAGGGCTTTTAGGTGAAAGGTTTAAGAGTAGGGGGACAAAGGTCAGAGCAGTATGCACACAGAGCCCAAGAGCGGACAGGTGTCCAAGGAGGTGGACATTTGGGGTGATCACCAAGAATGACATGAACTAGCTACCTCACTTAAAACAGGATGGTGGCAACAATAATTCTCATAGTTGGATTCTACCTCGAATATCCTGTTTTCTTTCACATCCTCTTCATAACTCTAATTAAAGACCTGCAGGTAGATTTCTGTACACTGGTACAGTGAGAAGTTAACCTTATGCTAATACTACACCCTATAAGCTTAAGGAGATGAACTGTATTACTGTAGGCTGTCCAACAACCCCTCCATTTACAAACTGTGCCTCCTCCACTTGGTATAATTTTGAGAGGGTTTTAAACAGAGGCCTCTGCATTCCTTGACAAAAATGCATGTGTGGTCATGCCAGCTAGAGTACCCTATCACCTGGACACAGTAATTGGTCCAGGGATAGTGACTGACCAAAGAGACTAAAGACCAGTCTTTAGTCTTTTCAGGGGGTTTATACAGCTGCTGGGAGTCTTTTCTTTGAGATCATGAAAGGTGGTATTACTACTTCTAAAACTGTATATCCCCCTCTTCAAAGGTTCTGAGAACTCAAGATATAGAAATCCAGTCTGTGAATAGAAAACTGGTAGTTAAGGCCCCACCTCTGCAGCCCACGCCCTATTTAAGTAAACAAATACACCAAGACACAGACAGGCATGGTAAAATATTTAATGTCTGTAAATGTTCCTCCCCCTCCCCCGAATTCCTGTTATGATATGACGGCGTCGCCAAACTGGCAGTTCCAGAGAAAACATGGGCACTTATCCCCAGCAGGGTTTGAAAACCATTAAGGCCCTAGTTCTCTTGACTTAGATATGATGGTAGGTGAGCTCTTTCCAGCAGGCCTCAGGCCCCTCTGGTCAAGAAACAGTCCCCAGGTGCTACAGGTCTCCTGAGGTCTTCTGTTCTTCTGCAGCCTGGCGCTGGGACATGCGCCGCTGGAAAAAGCGGTAGGCTCGGGCACTGCAGAGGTAGCCCCCATACACAGTGAGGAGCATCATAGAGGTAGAGAAGGTCTTGTAGCCAATGTCAGCTAGTTGCTTGGCAGTTGGCATGTTGTCCCCTACAAAGACAGACTGGATTTAGACACCAGGATAACCCTCACATGCCCAGCCCACTTCCCTGTTTATAGCCATTCCATAACTTCTGCATCCTGCTTTGTCTGTCTATTCTGAATGGCCCCTACATGTATGCACAGTCTTATAGTGAAAGACAACATTTAGGAACTCTAAGATTCAAAAGGGCAAATAAAATCTGCATATGAGATACAGACACACAGCTGGAACCACAGGTGCACCTGAATGACATCACAGCTAACACCCAGCCCTCCATGTTTGAGGAAAGAAGTGACTGGTACGAACCACCCAGAAATGTTCATTGGAAAATTAAGCACGTATCAGTTTTTCTGGCTAGCAGGAAATTAATGGAGGTAGTCAGGGATTAAATATTAGCAGTCAATTATTCTCTGTAGGAGAATCAAATGGGTATCTTCTAGGCAATATCCAATTTATTTTCCCATAAAAACAATCTTATTCACAGTGGTTAGCCCTCAAGCATCTGTTTAAGCCAATATATACCTGAAATAGTGCCAATAGTACATTTATATTATTTAAATTGTACTTAACCTTCTACAGCATTAATTCTAAGTTCCAAACACCTATCCAAGTACCTATCCCAAGGGCTAAAAAGAAACTTACTGAGTCCCCAGGAAATTTCTGACTCACACTTGCATGAGATAAGGTACTTCCAATTTAACTGTTCCCTGTATATCTGAACTAGAAAACAAGAGAAAGTCTAGCAGGGCAGTCTCTCATCCTAAACAAAACACTCTTCAGTGTGGGGCTATGAATGTGTTCTTAGACTCCTCCTCTCTGTTGAGGGAACTGAAATTAAAAGACTGACTGAAATTAGTGAGAATACATTTCTTAAAGGTCGAGAATTTGGAAGAAGAAAAGCCCCCAGTTGGCTTAGGGGGTCAGAAGTGGGGTGAGACACAAAAGTGCTTCTCCGAGTGAGTCCTGTGGGTGAACATTCCCTTGGAGCCAGTCCTTGACGGTGGAGCCAAGCTGAGTTGAGATGTAGCTTCCTTGAATTATAATTCCAAATGACTTTAAATAAGGTCAGAGGAAGAAAACCAAATGGCATGGGCTCAAGACAAGAAAGGGTTATGTTCACATTATGTGAACTTTGAAAGGACCCCAAGCTGTGAGACAGTGAAGAAAAGGCACATACATACACGGAGCAGGAGACTACGGTGGCAAACAAGCTCCCAGCAAAGAGACTTGCAGACCTTCAACCTCCCCCTCACTTCTTTCCCCTCATATGCCCCATTACCCTGGCCAGAGGCTACCTGGCCCACTTCTTGGAGAAATAAAAGGAAGAAGACTGACAGCATTCACTAGCCAGGAAACAGGATGGTACAGCTCAGCTAGAAGAGCAACAGAAGACTGATTAATAGACATTATTTTGGTTTTTAGAACCTCACTTCCTCTCTTGCCTAATCCAACCTAAGATTTCTCCTATTTTCAAAGTAACAAAAACTCTTCACAGACTCTGAGCTAAGGCAGGGCTGTGGAAAAGAAGTTCAAACAAGTTTTTATTAACTGAATGGATTAGGGCAAAGCTGAAAATATCTCCAAGTTAGGACACTTTGTGGATTGGGACATTGTTAATAGAAATAAGAAACAAGAAGGAACAGGTATGCGTACCACGATGGTGGTGGCAGTGGCAGTCAAGAAGAACATGAGATGGGTTTTGGACATCTTAAAAGTAAGATGCTCAACATAACATCAGGTTATGATGTCTATCAGACAGATGGATAAGCAAATCTGGACAGATCTTGGGAGAGATACAGATGGAGGTAAAAAATGACACCAAAACAGAGGGTAAGAACAGAGAGAGTGGCCAAGGGAACACCAGTTTGAAGGACTGGGTGCCAGCCTGCAGAGGTAAAGACTGCTGGTTCAATTCCCAGTAGGGCACATTCCTGGGTTACAGGCCAGGGCCCCAACTGGGGTGTGAGAGGCAACCACCGTGTTTCTCTCCCTTTCTCCTTCCCCGTCTTTCTAAAATAAATATTTTTTTTTCAAAAGAGCAAAATAATTAGGGAAAGAAAGCAGGTAGGTAATTCCAAAAACTTCTGGAGGGCTTTTTCATTTTACTACATCCTTTTCCCTGGTTGAAAATCACTGGTGCATCCATTTATTACCACTCATGGAGGTGTGCTGTATCTTTTAGGTGTGTTGGGCCAGAATGAATATTGGGAATCACTACTGCAGAGTTATGCGCCATGAAGACTAGGTGGGATCACTAAATGAGAATAGGTGACTAGGTGACAGGTAAACCTCGGGTAAAAGTTAATTTAGTGAACTGAACTGGATGAGGCATTAAGTAATACGCAAATCTTTAGCCAGGGCCCCAGGCAGGCCCATGAACTCTGACACTCCCCAAAGTCACAGCTACTAGAGCCAGAGCATGGAGGGCCAAGACGCCCGGTAGCTGTCAAAAGATTTGACAGAAACCTACAGATGCAAGGAGTTTGTTGGACTAGAAGCAGTGCTAATTGCGGCTTAGGTCCGCGGCGCAGGATACACCAGTGACTTCAAGGACACGCAAGCCTGAAGCCTGGGGCATGGGAAGATGCGGTGAGCAAAGGCCAGCCCAAACATGCGCTTCTCAGCTCGCCCCAACAGACGGCGTACCTGGATGCTGTAGCTTCCTTCGGTCCAACCGAGGCCTCCGCAGGGAGCGTCTCGCCAACACAGTCTACGCAACCCGACGCAGCACCCAAGACCCCGCGCTTGAGGCTCCCGTCCAGGAACAAACCTAGACGCTGAGGCGCTATTGGTGAGGAAAGTCACCCTTTCTCCCTCCCACCCGCTCTGTTAAGCCTCTAGGATTCGGCTGAACAACTCCACCCACTGAGACGCGAGAAACGGTGCCGCAGCGCCCAATCACCCACACTACAGATCCGCAGACCCGTCTTCCTTTCCGGAGGCCCGTTGAATTCTGGGAGTTGTAGTCATTCTCCATTGAGAGACGGTCTTAAGTGACTCAAGCGGAACTTTTAGGCTACTCAGTCACGATGGAAGAGACGACCTTTCTTGCCGACTCAATCAGCCAGCCAATCCCCAGTCTACGGCGCAGTAACGACTCGGGTAGCTAGGTAGATTCTCTCGGGGTCCGCCCTCTGAAAGTGGACCGCGCGCCCCCTAGAGCTTGGAGATGCCCTCCTCCCGGTGGCCCGGCTTTGGCCAAGCTCAGGTAAGAAGAACCCGACCCACGCCGCGAGGTCTCTACCGCCGAGACGGCGGCAAGTCTGGCCATGGTGTAGGCACGAGGGATGTTTCTGTACCGTGTGTGACCAATCCACTCGCAGGCGGCGTGATAAAGCCTCAAAGAAGCGTGGGGAAGGGAATGGGAGGGGTTGCCACTTTTGGGGAGGTCAACTGCGTGGGCACCACAACTAGGGGCAGGGAATGTCTGGGATTATGAGGAGGGTTTTCCTCTTTCCTGTGTTGTGAATGAGAACATATACACGCAGTGATACACCACAACTTGCGAACCCACGTGCACTGAAGTGCTCTTTCCCAACTCGTGTCTGGTAAAACCACGCTTTATTGGGTAGACAAATAGGCCTGATTCGAAGGCCTTAGATTCAATTAACTGTGGAGTGAACAACAGTAGGTAAAAGTCTTTGGCTAGCAAGATCGCAGGTGCTGCTGAGGGAAGGAAGCTGGTTTCCTGCCCCCACATTGACCTTCTGTATTAAGTCAGTGCCCCTGACTGGACCCAGCCAGATCTGGGACAACTGTGCACCTCGCTCCTGCTACCTGATTCAGGCAGCTCCGCGCTTCATTAGAAAGTGAATTCTCAACGGCTAGAAGCTGAGAGGAGCCTGCCTCCCTGGTCACCAGGCCGGGAATAAGGGAGGGTTAACATAATGCTGGCCAGAGCCATAGTATGCCAGGTGCTGCCACTCAGGAAGCTGAGACCCTGTACTGGACCCGAAGGAGTGTCTTAGGCCCTCAGGGACTATTTATAGCCAGAAGCCTAGGCTGCTGACCTGTGACATTCTCCACTGCCACCCCATCCTGGAGCTAAGCCAGGCAAAGCATACTCCTCTCCCTCCTCCCCTTTCTGTTCTTCCCTTACCCTAGGGCAGCAATTTTCAGCCAGTGTGTGATGTGCCCTGTGATGTGCCCACAAGAGGCACACTGCTGTGTCGCAAGAATTTTTATAACACGCAATACCTGACTCTTTAGTCAGGGGCATTGTTTTCCCTTAAATTATCAAAATTTAAAAAAAATGACAACAGCCAACACAACAATAGCCGTCCAGTATGACCAAGTCAAAATTATATCTATTTTCATGTCAGCTCGTTAAAAAATAGTATTTTTTGTGTGTTACAGAATTTTAGTAATTATAGTTTATGTGTTCCATGAAATGAAAAAGGTTGAAAATCGCTGCCTTAGAGGGCAGGCTGGTTTTAATTTTTATTTCCTCTTCCTTAAGTTTCCTAGCTCTCGGGGTACTCATGTATACCTTGCTGAGAAGGCAGATGACAGAGGGGAGCTGGCCTTGGAATGTCAGGACCCACCAACATGGGGATATGCTCACCCTTCCCTCCCCCTGCTCAGCCTTTGGGCCACTCTCTAGCCCCCTGGCTTCTAGATACAGGTGCTTGTTAGCTGCCCTGGCTGTTCTGGAGGAGGCTGAGAAATAAGTACAGGGTTTGGGAGAAGGAAAGGGGGTAGAGCCAAGGATATTCTGGGGAGATAGCAGGAGGAGGGACCCAGCTGAAACCTCCCTTGCCACTAGAGCTCCTGAGAAGGGAGGCAAGGCAGATCCAAAGGTCACAGGGAGCAGAGTGATCTGAGCCTGCTATGAAAAGGTGTAGCTCTGTCAGCAGATTAAGTTCCTGCTCCCCAAAGAGGGTGCTGGTAGGGAGGGAGAGGGAAGGCTTGCAAAGGTCACACACAGTGGGGAGGAGCTGGCAAAGAACTAGGAACTGGGAAGTCTATAGGGAGAATGACAAGCCCCAGGGCCAGAGATGCCAGCGTGGCAGTGACTCTGGTGCCAGGGCAGCCTGGGGGAGGGGAAAGGGAATGGCCAGAGGTTTCTGAGGACGCAGATGTTGCTAGGAGAAGCTAGAAGAGGGTTGAGATCTTCGTATTTTGTTAACAAACACTGAGATCCATTGATGCTGAGTGGGGCCTGGCATAGGTCAGACAGAGCAAAGGAGTCCCTATGTCAGCTCAAAATCTCAAACCACTCCCTGACAGGCCTTGCTTCATCCCTCTTGGAGCTGAGATAGTTCTGTAGCCACTCAACTGGGCTTGGGGACAGGATTCCTGTCCTGTGTGATGCAGCAGTGGGTGGCCATTGCCTTACCTCCCTCTCCCTCCACCCCCTGCCCCACCACACATGCCCAAACAGACAGCACTGGGGCTTCCCAGAGGGCAAGGAGAAAGCCCCACATTTGGAGAGGGACAGGCATCTCCATTCCTGGCCAGATGTGGCAAGAGGCTGCAGGCTGCTTGGTGATTCAGGATTTCCAGACCGATCGATGGGCCCCACAGCCTCCTATCCTCCAGGGAAAAGCAGAGAAGAGGCTTCTCTCTGGGGAGACCCAGAGATCCTGGTGGCCAGGTACCAAAGCTTCTGCCTCTCTCCACCGGGGTAAAGAAGTTTCCTGGCCTGGGCCTTAGTCTTGCTCACATATGTTCTGGATGATTCTGCAGGCAGCGGATGAATTCACCCACTGGCTGGCTCTCATAGCATACCCTGTACACAGCCATGAACAGAGGAAACCTAGAATGGGGAAGGAGAGACCCAACTTAGCCTCTTATGTCTCCTACCCACCACTCTCCATTCCTACCTAACCTTCCACTCTCCTAGCCTCCCACCTTTGAATTCAGGCAGACTCTGGCTCTCAGTTTCCAGTTGCTGAGAATCTGAACTTCCTAGCTCTGGGTTTTAGGGTCAGGTCATTAATTGCCTTGCTCCCTATCATATTGAACTTGCTGGCATTCCCTGGAATTGTTTTGTTCCAAGTGGACAAGCCACTTGACCTCTGTGAGCCTCAGTATCATCAACTATAAAATGGGGCCAATATAAAAAAGTAGTGAAGTGATTATGTATTCTATGAAGGTGCTCAATAAATGACCGTTTCTTTCTTATCCTCTTGCCCAGGCTGCTTGCTTTACCAGGGGGCTTTATCCTGACCAGCCATGAGCTAATCTTCTGAACCTGTTTCATACTCTTTTCCAAGATTCTTTCTCAGACCACCAGAGCTCTGCTCTGATCTGCCCATCACCCTTGAAATGGAGGGTGAAGAAACAGCACCTTGAAGTAGAGACTGTCCTCACACCTCAGTACCCAGGACAGCAGTCAGGGACAGAGGGTTGGCTTTGGGGGAGCAACTTACACTGAGGGTGCATAGAGAAGGGGGACAATCAGGCGAGCTTATTCTTGCTGCCTCAGAGCTCCAAACCCCACAGCAGAGGATGAGGAAAGGATTGAGGGAGGCTATGCAGACAGGTCGAAGCAATGTGCTATGAAGAACACCAGACTGCAAAGAGTTCAAAGACCATGAACTAACTAGGGGACAGAGAGCATACAGACTCTCTCCAATCTCTGGTCTCTGTGTCTGTTAACTAAGATAACATTTCCCTCTCTGCCCACTTCACAGATTGAGAAGGAAGATGAAAAAGGGGGAGAGTACTTCTGGCTGTGGTTCCCAGTGGGGCTGTGGCGGACACTTACTTATCCACCAGGCCCTTGTGTTGGAGGATGCTGTGTAGCTCCCGGGCTGTCTGGGGCCCTTGCAGCTTCTGCCCATTCAGCATCTCTTTCTCAAGCTGCTCAATGGACTGTAAAGAAAACAGGACAGGTGGATGGAAATGGGAGAGGTGGATTGTCAGTGTGAGATGGAGAGTCTGGGGCTCAGATGAGAGGTGGGAGATCTTAGGAGGAAAGAAAGGCTGGAAGTGTTCACACCAAGTTTAATGTCTGTGCTCAAGAGATACCTCCAGCCAGGTTCCTCTACGTTGACACCTATAGGGTCCACCCTCCCTTCTCCATTCCCTCTGTGGCTCACCTTTCCTGTACGGACAAAGGCCTCTGCCACCTTGCGGTTCCGCCCTCCGTAGCAGGTAGTAATGAGGTCAGCAACACCACAGCTCTCCAAGAAGGTGGCAGGGGACACAGGGCCCCTACAGAAGAGTTTGGCGAAGGCGATCATCTCCATGAGCCCCAGCCGGATCACCGCTGCCTTGGTGTTGTCGCCAAAGCCCAGCCCGTCGCAGAAGCCAGCCCCCACGGCCACTACATTCTTTGGGGAATGGAGGACACAGATAACAAAGGATCCCCTCCTGCAAGCCCCACCTGGAGCCCTCACCACCTGCCTCAAGCTGCTTCCATCAGCCACTATAAGTCCACTGCAATTAAGGGAAGTACAGTGGTTGGCTCCTCAACTATTTGCTCCTCTTGGTTTCCCCCTTTGCTATACTCCCTCCTTTTAGCATGGGCTTATGCTTACTGGCTCCCCAAATCTGCTCCATACTCCACCCTTGAGGACATTTACTGAAAACCAGTCTTCTCTCCAGCTGGCCCTCTCATCCATGACTGTCCCTGATATCCACAGCTCTGTCTAGGATCCACAGGTCTAGCCATTAATCTCTCTGGGTGTCCTGGACATCTTGTCTCCCATTAGTCTGGGTGCTCTCCCAGGGCATCTCCTCTCCCCTCTGGACCACCCTCTGGAGCCAGGGGTAGGGATGTCCTACAAGAAGCTATAAGGAGAAAGGAAGAAGCGGGTTCAGAGTCTAATAGTGAAAAAATTAGCAGGTCTAAATGACCTTGGTTTTGCTTCTGCAGCTCTTCCTATGTATATGGGATTTAGTGGGGAATAGGAGCAACTGCCTGTGAGTGACAGCCTGGAGTACCAGTAACCTTGTATGGCTCAGCCAGGCCCTCTTTCAGGACCTTCTCTCCACCCCTTAGCTGCCTCTATACCCCTCTCACCTTTAAGGCCCCACAGATCTCTACTGTGTCCACCTCTGGTACCACTGTGATTCGGAAATTGGGTGTCTGCATCAGTTCTTTCAGAAGTTGTCCCTGGGCCTGGTCCTTGCAGCCTAAAGTAGGGAGGAGCAAAGTTTTAGGGGGTATCCTTGACTCTTTTTCACACATGTGCCTTAAGCAGGACCTGCAACCCTTTCCCTGGGGGTGTCCCAATCCTCCCTCACCTCTGATGCTTGGGTCTTCTTCCTTTGCCTGCCTAATGGGGAGAAGACAGCTAAGTGGAGTCAGGGAAGGGAGAATGTGAGGAGGGGATGTAACTGGAGCTGCATCATGTGTGTAGGTGGTAGTGGGGCTCTCACCAATGGTTGTCTCACAAAACTTCTCATCAGCCACCTCGCTGGCAATGTTGGCCCCCATCAGCACACTCATGGGGATGGCGAGCCGCTCCCCAATCACTTCAGAGATGAGCTTCAGCCCATTGGGGCCTTCATCTACACCCTGCGCACAGGAGGAAGCTCAGGCCAGGTGCCCTTAATGCCCAACTGAGAGAGTCCCACCCAGAAATCCTGCCCTTTCCAAATCTGCTGTTCGTCCAAGTTTCCCCAAAGGTCCTGCCCCAGTCCAGCCTAGCCAAAGCTTGTTGTAAGGAGGGCTGTTGGCATATGAAAATTAATCCATCTGAAAACTGTCCTCTCACATACCCTCATATCAATCTTTCTCTCCAAGTCAGTGTCTCTTCTCCATATTCCTAAACAACCCACTCCCGAGTTCCCCAAACTGGCTTCCACCCCAGCCACTACTACAAACCAACTTCTCTTTCACATTCCTCAAACCAGCCCCCTCCTCATATCCCCAGGCATCTGCTGTATGCCTCTCAAACTCCCTAAGACATCTGCCTCCAAACCAGTCTCTTGTCTACTCCTCAACCAACCTCCCCTTCCCAGTGGTCCCCAGCATCTGTTTCTCAAGCCTCACCAAAGCCAACTCCTTTCCTCTTTCCAGAAAACTCAACCTACTTCTGCTACTTTCTGTTCTCCCCATCTCACCCACTCTGAGTCGTGCAATGGTTAGCTACACTCCCATCCACGTGGCATCCCTGGCACCTTAATAAGAGATATCCCAATGGCGTTTGCCTTCAGGTGGCCCTTGAGCTGATCACAAATCTTGCCGATGAACTGATGGGGCACCACAAAGATCAAGATGTCAGCATCCACTGCAGCCTGGACCACATCTGGGACAGCCACCTGTGGGGTGATCAGTGCTCATAGGCCCAATAGACTACTAACCCCTATGAAGCCCCATTCAGATCTAAAAGCCAAAGAGTGAGGCTTGCTTGTGGGGGGAAAGGAAGGCCAGTTTGGGCATTGAATCTGAAAGGGCTGAACTTGGAGGAATAAGACACTCAATTCCTTCCCCCAGCCTTCATTCCCTCTCAGCTTCAGCTTCCATGGGCTCTTGACTCTTGGAAACCTCCTCCCAGTACCCTCCTAGCCTTTGGCTGTGGGACAGTTAGAGGCCAAAGGAGGCCTGAGCTTGGCAGGAGGAAGAGGCCAAGTAATTTCATCACCCTGCTCTTTAGGGCCCCTAACTGAGAAGGAAGAGAACCAGTCTTCCTGCTGTTTTCTCTACTGTGGGGAGTGAGCCACACGGATTTGACCACCAATTTTAAGTCCAAGGAGCAATGTCCAAGTCTGCTACTAACCCAGTGAATAAGTAACAAGATTAGAGCCCGAGGCAGGCACTACCTGAACCCCAGGTCTGAGAGCTGGAGAACCTGTCTTTGGTTACCACAGAGACCAACTTCCTTGTCTTCTCTTAAAAGCCTGGGAGCCCATTAATTGGTGGTGGGGGGAGCACATTCAGGTTCTTCTCAGTTCCAGAAAATGCCCAGGGGAACAGTTGGGGGGCTGTGCACAGAAGTACCCTGTGCCTACAGCAGCCCTCCTGAGACACTTTCCAGGTCCAGGTGGCACCTGAAATGGCCCCCCACCTCGGCAGGAGGCACCCCTCCACTTCCCTCTCCCTTTCTTGCAGGGTGCCGCAGCTCACCACGTTGGGGGGAAGCTTGTGCCCGGGCAGGTATTTGACATTTTCATGCTGTGTGTTGATGATCTCTGTCAGCTTTCTGCCCCCGATGTCTTCCTCAAACACCCACATGGTCACCCGTGGGTCAAAGCGTGCCAGCTGGGCTGCATTGCCACCCACAATCTTGGCAATGGCTGAGCCCCTGGTGGGAGGGGAGCACAGAAAGTAGAGGAGTGGGGGTGTGAGAGAGGAATGTTGGCAGAGGAAGGGGCACTGTCCCACCTCGGGATATCACAGCAGCCCACCAGAGTATTTACTAGCTGCCTTCCTTGTCACCCCCACTCCAAACCGCTCTAGAGGCTCCCTTCTTGTGGCGAACAGGTGCAGGGACAGGCCAGGGCAAGGAGAGGTTTGGGCTCCATCTGTCCAATGGGGACAGGCACAGAAGATAACACCAGGGGCGGAAGAGGAACCAGAGGGTATTTCCAACCCACTGTCTGCCTCCTGCCCACCTAGGCCCCCATGTTCTTGGGGGATCCTGCCCCCACCCCCCCCACGCCACTCCTTGACAGAGCCACTTACCAGTTGCCGGAGCCTACAATGCAGACTTTCTTGCCGGCCATGGTGCTGCTTTTCTGCCTGAGCCAGCTGGTTCCACACTCCCCAGCTCCTCTGCCGGCTAGGAGCATATAACTCCGCCACACGTGGGTGCAGCCAAGCCCCGCCCTCCAGGGGTGGGTGGGGAGGCAGGCGCCCAGGGAGACAGTCTGGCAGAGCCAGGGAAAATGGAGAGAAGAGTAGAGACAGGTGGGGAATAGGAATGGGGCACAGACCAGGCCCCACCTTTCCTCAGGTTTGCCAGCTGACGGTGACAACAGGCTTCTTCCCTTGGCCCCAGCCCAGTCCCCTCTATCCCCCTGCAGCGGTCTCATCTTGAGGTCTGCCAAGAAATAGTCTAGACTGGCCTCACTCCCTTCTGCCTCCCAGCACAGGAATAAATTGTGCGCAGCCCTAGTAGCAGACACAGGAATGCTTGCTTTTCCAGGGTATATGTCTTGCATATCTTCCCAGGTCCTCCAAAACCGCTCTGCAGTTTTGTCCCCTAGCAGTGACAGAGACCACATGTCACTGGCCCCACACTAGCTGCACTGCAGGGCTGTGGCTGGGTGGGGTGGGTGGGTGTGGGCCTATTTCTAAACCTAAGAACACATACGAGGTAAAGGCCTGCTTTGGGGACAACCCCACACAAGGAAAAGGAGACCCCAGGAGCCCTGACAGAGGTCATCTCAGTTACCTACAGTAGTCTTCTTAGGGATTCACCAGTGGGCCTCTCCTCACCTCCAAGTATGCCCCCCACCTGAATATCTTCCAGGGAGGGTGGGAAAAGTCAGAGTAATAGGCTCTGATGCCCACAATTCTCCTTTTGCAGACTCTGGGCTTGAGGAAGAAGACAGGAGAGAAGAGGTTGGCCAAAGTGTTCGCTTTCCTTGAGAGGTTTTCAGCATCTTGCAGTTTTTTCTTGGGGTTTTAAACTCCCACACTAGGGGACCCTTCAGGTTAGGGGCTAGTTTGCAGAAGCCAGGAAGGGGAAAGGAGCCAGGGCCAGGAGTAGCTGTTAACTATGGAGCTGAGGTCTCAGATGCAGTAATTGAGAATAAGTGGGGTATGTGATTTTAGGGGGCGGGGAATGGAAACAGCTCTTTCAGCAGCTCAGGGCTCCACATCGCCTACAGCCATCTGTTTGACTAAGAGGGGGAGCTCTGGTTTCTACGCTGATCTGGAGAGTGAGGCAAAGTGCCGTGACACTCCAGCTGTCTGTGCACCTTGGCCTAGAGGGCAGAGACCACTGAGTGCTCACAAGCTGATCTCTTGACCTGGCAGACTGCTAAGTGGGTGTATTCAATCCCTGGGGCTGCTGCCGATTGGCAACAGTGATGAGCACTAGGCCAGAAGGGAGTCTGTGCAACCGCTGGGTGAGAGTAAGTGGGCACGAGGTCAAGAGCAATTTCTAAGTTCTAGGGCCTGCCCAGGAAAAGCCCCCCATATTCTCCTTTCTTGGCCAGAGTTCCCACAGGGGAACATACATGAAATCAGAAGTTGTTTCTCTTAGGGACAGTCGTACCTACTTCGGAGCCAGCGTCCCACAGATCACCCCACTATTGCACTGGCATTGAGACAAAGGCATCAGTGCCAGGCTGCCAGCTGGGAGCACTGATTATGGGTGATGGAAAAGAAAGAATGCTTTTGTTCCTAACACACATGATGGGAACCCCAGAGAATGGGTAGCTGTGCATAAAAAAACTCCCTTGTTTTTCCCTAAATGCTTCCATCTCTTATGTCCCTACAGTAATTTTTAGTGCGGAGACAAAGAATGTGTTCATTTATATAGGAATGAAGTGTGTAGAGATCTAGAATTGGCTTGTCATAGGAAATTATCTGTACCAGTAGGCTCTTTTCCCAAGAGCAAACTGTAGCTTATTTGCTTGAAATTAATAAGGGTTCATCAGTTATTCATTACATGTGTAATTAGCCTGGGTAAAAACAGATGCCATTTCAATATCCTTGACATCGATTTTTCCCACTCCAAGTTATCACCCACATACTCTGGTCTCTATTTTCCCTACTCAAATCTGATAAACCTCCAAGTTCCAGGTCAGAAAGTGGTTTTGTCCTTGTTGGGTTTGACTACAGACAGGCAATACTTGAGTGCTCCCATCCATAGAGGCATCTTTTAACTATAACTCTGGAATGCATTTGCATTCATCCTATGTTTTAAACCCCCTTCTTGGGTAGAACCAAGCTGGGTAACAGCACAGAAGAGGAAAGTAATGAGTCACAAGATGGGAGGCAAACATATTATGATGGGAACTGCTCTGCTAATGGGAGTACCAGTCCTGAGCAAAATCCTCCGAACCCCTCCGATGAGGGGTTGTCTGTAGTATGAGGATGACAACACAGGAAGAACTCCCGTGCTGGTCTTGAGAACTGAAATCTTACTCAGGGCCGTGAAAGTGGAACCTTAAAGAATGGCAGGCACAGAGAAAATGGTTTTAGCTGTGCAGAACCTGGCCTGGACCTAGACAGGAGCCCTGAGGAATGGAACTCCCTTAGAGGAAGCTCAGGTTCATCAAGCCTAAGGGATCACCAGCTCCTGAGAACAGTGCACTTGAGCTAACACACTTAAGGCCTGGGAGCTCAGAAGGACAAGGAAGATGATGGCAATACCACTGTTTTGTTAGTACCCTCCCAACAGGGGGGCTGTAAGCAGTAATGAAACCCAGTAATCCCACCAGCCTCTGGTCTGCTTGGACCACTGGGGGCTGACAGAGCGAGCTCTAAGGTAAAGACCCGAGGTCCACAGGGTAGAAGTTTTGTTTTCCACCACAGCCAACACATAACAGGTGCTCTGTAAATGGTTCTCAAATAAAATGAACAAACACCATAAGTATGGCTAATGGCACTAGAGAGAGCAAGCTCAGGGAAGAGCTCTCCCTCAGTAGGCAGGGGAACCCATACTTCAGAAGACTCTTTTATTAAAACTGGGTGACATCGATAAGGGGACAGTACAAAAAAAATTTTGGTCCATGAAAAAAACATAATTCAGTTAATAAAAAGTTATCTTCAACAGGGACACTGTGCAGGAGTGCTGAGCTTCCTTCTCATGGTTTCAGCTCCAAGAACAGAGGTTGCCCAGTGTCACTGGGCAGTTTTCAAGGGACGAGTGGAATAATAGCAGGAGGGGGAAGACAGGGAGAGAATTCTGCTGTCCCCAGTATGGAACAGACAGGGATACTGGGCTGGGGGGATGTGCTCGCAGGAGCCTGAGGAGGGGGTGGGGAAGCAGGGGCTTTGTCAGTTCTGTGGGTTTTGAGCCCATGCTGAACGGAATTCCCCCTCTGTGCCCAGCTGTCTCCCACCCTGCTGTGTTGAGTCTGCGAGCCTGGGATATACTAACTCGGGGTGATATGACTTGGAAGAATCTGAGGCTCTCATGGAAAGATGAGAAACCATCTCAGTTCCAAGGGGCCAAGGTCACAAGGTCCTGCTGCTACCTGAGGGGTCTGAAGCTTTGAGGGCAGGGGCTGGGAAGTCACAATCCTATGAGGCAGGGAGAGGGAAGAGTCACAAACCCAACTCAGAGCTATTCTCCAGCCCTAGGCGCTTTCAATCCTCAGTGCCCTAGAAGTCACCAGTGGGTGTCAACTGGGCAGACAAGGGACAGGAAGACAGGGATGGCCCAGGGCTTTTACCCGTTTGATTTTAGGCCTGTTTCTCCACAAAGGGATGGGGGAGGCAGGGTGGAGTGAATGAATGAATCACACCTTCAAGCAACAGCAGGAAGGACAGCCTCTGCTAGCAATGACAGTACCCCAGGTTAGATCTCTGGGGCTCTGACAGGGAAAGGCAAGATTCCACACCCAAATACCCTGGGTTAGGACAGATAAGAGGGAATCCTAAAAAGAGCAGCTACAAGGAGTATGCTGTGAGGGAGTAATTGTTAAAGAACAAACTCCAATACTGATGTGGACCCCCTAAGAGGGAGCAAGAGAAGCACTGAGACAGCAGGCCAATCCAGAAGGCTGCAGACTGACCTGGGGCTCAGTGGAGCCCAAGAGCCAGGGTTCCTTTAGTGCTAGAGGGCAACAAGTGAAGGGAGAGTTTGCTCCAAACCTGTGGAGGAAAGGAAGGAAACGATTTTGTTATCAGGAGAGCCAAGATCAACTAGCTTATAGAGTGCCCCCAGGCCTGAGTCTTGGAGAAGGGGCTGAGGCTCCCAACTCCTGGGTCTCTGAAGGGCAGGATCAGTGTAGCTGGTCCCTTTGAAGACCACCTGGCCTTAGGCCCAATCCATTCAATGCATTGATTACCACTACAGGTTCTCTCTCTAATACTATCTAGAGGTCCTATGTAGACCAGGGGAGGGTAGAGGCACATGGGAACTTTGTGGGGCAAAGGGAAGCTGGGGGTGGGAAGGGATGGGGTAAGATAAGAGGGTAGTAGGTGTCTTGTAAGACAGAAATGTGAGACCCTCTTCGTTCTGGTGTTGTCCTTGAACCAACAGCATTCCCTGGAAGGCCCCAAGCAAGACCAAGGCAGGTGCTATGAGGCAGGCAGCACAGGGCCCAAATAAAGAATCGGTGCAGCCAAATCAGGCTGTAGGAGAGGCCCTATGTATTTCGGATTCCCAGGGCTTGCTCTAATTCTTGTCGTCTCTGCTGCACCTAAAGAGAAAATAGTGGAAGGAGTGGAAAATGAGACAAACCAGGAGTTGGTAGCTAATCCCACTGACGCCATCAGGGGTGCAGACCCCTTGTATAGCCCAGGCACCTACCTTGGAGTAGAAGTATCGGCACACAGCCTCCTGAGCCCAAGGCTGGAAGTAGAACTCAGCTCGGCGCTCTTCCTCTGGGTTACCCACCACATCAGTCATGGTCTGAGGGAGATGGCAGAACAAACTTGTTTCCTTCCCTCACACCCGTTATGGATTGACTTGTGTCCCCCCAAAAGATGTCATAACCCTAACCCCCAGGACCTATGAATGTGACTTTATTTGGAAATAGGGTCTCTGCAGATGATCAAGTTAAGATGAGGTCATTAGGGTAGGCCTAATCCAATATGACTGGTATCCTTATAAAAAGGGGAAATTGGGACACAGAGACAGACATTCATGGAGGGAAGACGAAGCGAAGACAAACGGAGAACACCATCTACAAACCAAGGAATGTCTCAGGCT